ACACTTCTATAAATAGTTTGATTGATTGGAAGTCCGGAACACAACAATTTTACATATTAATGTATCTTCCATATAAACAAATATTATCACTTTTGGACTCAAATACCATATCAACAACCTTCTCAGTTTTTAAAAACTTGGGCTGACTAAGGGATTTATATATTTCAAAAGAACTGAATCACCATGTTACTTTCATATATAAGTCTCGGACACCCCGATTAAAATATATATATATATATATATTTTAATCGGGGTGTCCGAGACTTTGTCCCAACTAATCCACGGAACCCGTACAAGGCGCCCACACGAATCGGCCCCAAGAAATTGCCCACACGTGGAGGCTATTTTCGGCTCCAAACTTATGTCCCTCTTAGCTTACAGATCACAGTAAAATAATCTTACTGATACACCATTCTTGTATGAATTCCAAGCAATATTCATTTAAATACTCTAATATTATTAGAATTTTGAAAATGTGAAGTTTATATTCTTGAATGACATATTTAACCAACTAAATTTAAATAATATATAAGTCTCATAATATTTGTTCATGGTAGTAAGTGTATTATGAGACTGGTCTGCTAGGCGCTTAACCGATTGATACTCATCGATAGAAATAATTATTACACGAAACATATCAATTAGAGGGGCGTATCTTGTGAACTCTAGTGAGTTTACAAGTGATAAGTAACACTGCTTATTTGCATTTTTATAGCATTACATGATTTAAAAATATATTAATAAAAAGATCATGTAAAAATCAAAAGACTAGACTTGTTTGGTTTAATTTTTTTTTTTTTTTTTTTTGATACTCACACACATATGCCTCCACCGAAGTTCGAATTCCCTACCTCCTTTAGGAAGTAAAGACCTGGTAGCGTTAGGCCACTGGTCCGTCAATAATTTTTTATTTTCTGAATACTAAAAATGTAGTTCAAAAATTAATTTGGTTAATAGTTTTTTAAAAGTAAAAACCATAGTTTTGAAAAGTCAGTTATAAAAATTACGTGTTTTAAAAATAAAAAAAAAAATTTTAAAGTGACAATATTAGTTATAAGAGAAAAAAGTAAAAGAAAAAGATTAGATTATTGTGTTTGGTTAATTAAAAAGGACAAAAAGTAAAAATAAAATTAAAGAAGCTTAAAGAAATTGATAATTTAAGAACCAGACTCAAAAGTATATGATATAATAAAGATCAATAAAAAAATATTTTTTTATTTTTTATGTTGTGTATAATCTATCCAAACCCCTATTAGATAATGTTTACACATTTTTTGGACTTGTACTTTTGGTGGATGTTAATGTTTGGCTGTCTTATTTGGACAACCCTGTGAAACAGGGTACTTGTGTACCTATGGTACCAAATTAAGAGTAAGAATAAACAAATATATATATAATAAAACATAAAATAAATGGACATACATATTGTCCATACAAACACTAATCATAAGAGGATTTTTGCCAACAAGATAATGTGGGTACCAATCTTCTAAAAGTAATTATTTCTCCTAATCACAAAAGAGGATATCATTAATATAAAGAAACTGATAGCACATGCCTTTTAATTTACCATTGGGACCACCCATGCAAAAGGCCCATTTTCTTTTCTTTTTCTTTTTTTCTAGGAGCGCCAGCTAGTCACTAGAGCAATTGTGACTTGAAAAATTATTAGGTGATTCTAAACCATTCCAAACTATTATTGAGATTTTTTTTTATTATAATATATTAATACACTCTGATGTGGCCACTTTCTTAATCAGAGATTTTGAATTGAATAGGTCTACCAAGTATCAATGGACCAGGACTATTTAATAATTTCTCAACTAGCTCAATACTCACCTTTTGTAATTGGTTAAAAATCAATCAAGACGGAATGATCAATCAATCACTACAACCATTGTAATTTTCATTATTTTTTATTTTTTTTCCACAGTTATTGTGATTGTTTTTCAACCAATCACTTAAGGCGAGTGTCGAACGACCGTCACTAGAATGACAGTGACTAAGCCCCTCTGGCTAACCCTTCTACGAATATGTGATTGTTTTTCAACCAATCATTTAAGGCAAGTGTCGAACGAACGTCACTAGAATGACAGTGACTAAGCCCCTCTGGCCAACACTTATATGAATAGTTTGATTGATTGGAAGTTTTTTTTCCTTTTTAAAGTACTTGTATCGATCCCACAACAAACACACTATTTAAATTAAGAGTGCGATTCAAAAGCGAAACATCAAAGATACCTCCCGAATTCTTGCCAACACTGTTATGTCCTGATTACTTGATTGATTGGAAGTTCGGGACAAGCATATTAATATATCTTCCTTCTAAACAAATACTCACTCTTGGACTAACACCAATATCAACAACCTCCTCACATTCAAAAAACTTGGGCTGACTAAGGGATTTATATATTTCAAAAGAACTGAATCACCATGTTACTTTCATATATTTTATCACACAATTTAACATTAATTAATGTGTGTAATAAGAGAACAAAACATAATCTAGTGTGTGTGTGTGTGAGTGAGAGAGAGAGACAGAGAGAGAGAGAGTATGTTTGTGGGAGAGGACAGATGGCGAGACAAAGACAGAAGCAAAACTATTACAAAGGTTCATACTTTACGCATTGAAGGGTCATTGTCTGCTAGTATTTTTGGCTTTTGCCAGCTTTGTTGAGACTATAAATGGTCCCCGTTTATTGTTTAACAAGTCCTTCTAAATTATAAACTAAAGAAATCAATTAATATTTTCATCCATTAACCACCTAAACAAAACACCAATCTAATAAATCCAACATTGACCTTTTTAAGCAATGTATGAACCAAGAAAACAAACCAACAGATAGAAAATGTTCTACCATCTCTTTCATGCATTATATTTACTTAAATATCAGTATTTTTTGAAGATTCCAACCTTTGATGTCTCTCTTTTAAATTTTAAAAATATTTAAACTTAATCCAATAAATGGATGGTCTTAAAGTAAATTTATTCCAATTCCAAATCCAAAAGAATTGCACACAAAAACCTGTAGCCCATCAAATTTGCTCAGTAGGAGATAATGGTCAGGACAACACAAGTGACAACCCATCAACAGCTTGTTTGACACACACACACAAACACAAACACAGTCAAGTCTGAAAGCAGTTTAATATGTTTAATAAGGCAAGTTTGTGTGACCTCTGTCAAGACAATTTACAGGATCTTTACATCACTTGATGCCAAGGTAGCAAACTTTTTTCTTTTCATTAAGAACACATGCACCAACCCTACATACCCTCAACACACACACCCACTGCACACCAACTTATAATACCTAACACGTAGGATTCCAACACACAACAAGTGCATTCAAAGCAATCGAGTAAAGGTATCAACCTAGATCATCTGCTGAAACATTGATCCTACCAAAGGGATGGGGGGAAGAAGGAAGAAATTCCTGGTCTGGCATTAGATTGCCAAAATTATAGATGTGAAACAGTGAATCTCTCCAATGACCTAGGTATCAATGTTTTTTTCCAAAATTAACCTAGGTTTCAATGTCCCAGTGTTAAAGAGTGCATTACATTTTCAATGATTAACCAAACTGTACATGTAAATCACTAGTTTCATAGTATACCACATGCTGACTTGAGCTTCTAGATATCATCAATTCACAGAATTATCAATTAGGCTCCCTATTTTACTATCCAGTACTCTGAAGATTCATGCCAACTGGAACTAGCATCCATGAAGGGCCATCATATGATGGGAACAAAGATTTCGAAAGAGAGATCCACCAACACGAAGGTCAACCGCAGTCCTTTGGGGCAATAAACATGGATACGAACAAGAAACACAAGTACGACATGATACAGACGTGGCAATATAATAAATCCCAATATATATATATATATAAGCCATAAATGGCACAATATCCACATTATCACAAATGTAAATGCTAATTTACAGCCAGCCTATAGCTGGATAAGTGTTGTTTTTATTTTCTAAAACATTTTATATATTCTAATTATTCTGAATTAAAAATTATATTGAAACACTACTTTTAAAATGTAATCGCAAAACAATCCTATTGTGTCCTAAAAGTGTCCAAAACATGTCGCAGCCATGTCCACTTAGAAAGAAAATATTCAAATTTCAAGACACTCCTAGCCGTGTCAGAGACGTATTCAGGCATGTTCCATACTCAACAAACACAATTCTGACACCAGCATGGCACCCCTACAGGAGTACTCATGCTTCCTAGCACGTGAGACTAGATATCAAAATTTCAAGCAGGCATGTAACTGCCTACATTTGATACAGTAGAATAGAATGAAATGAAATGAAATGAACACTCAAGCTAATACATGAGAGAGGTTTTCATTACGAAACTAAAACATCAAAACAAGAAACATGATAAAAGTAGGAAAAAAATAATAGAGCTTTATCATTATAAACTAATAAAGCACATAGCAATACTAGTAATTTCTCTATTTTCCGTGATTAAATTTAAAATGTTAAATACACCAATAAGGGGAAGTAATCTACTAACCAATGACTAGGCAGACAAGAGAACCACTTCCTTCACACTAAAGATTTATATCAATGGTAGTTCATGATTCATGAAGAGATAAGATCAATGGTAGCGTCAAGAATGGTGTTAGAATTCAATATTGTGAAGGCATATTTACAGCACGAAAAATGTATATACAATTTGATGTATGTCCTCTCACATCATCTCTGAACAGCCTTGTCAGTTACCTCGAAGAAAATTCTTCACATGTACATGATCCCTCTGAAGTGACAACAGTATGACGCCTTTCTTTCTGCTACATGCAAATTTCTCACTCTTACTCCAACAGAAAATTATACAGCAATGCAGACTTTTGCATATTAGGTGCCTGTCTTAAACCTACACATGGCCATTCAGCCTTCGAAGGTCTCAAGAAACAACAAAGAGAGAGAAAACTACATGCACCTCTGATAAAAGAGAGAAAAGCACGCTGTCATAATAGATTACCTGGGGAAAATTAGCAAGCTGCAGGCATGGCCACTGTTAGACCTCTTGGAATTGGTCATGGACTTTTTAAGGCTTCAAGAATGCTATCTACCCATCTATAACAAATAGAATTATGAAAATTAGTATGGATCATTTAGCAAGTTACAAATAGAAGAATTCATGAAACTCATCAATTCCTTTCTATAAACAAAGACTAGATTTGGGATCGATCATATGCAAACTAAATGACCTCAAGAACAGAAGTGTACTTGGAAAATATGGAGTCATTGCAGTACAATCTCAAAATAGAGAACATCCATCAATTATTAGAATCACGTAAGACAAATCCTATCAAAACAAAAGATGTTAACCTTCAAAAGTGATAAACACTAGAACCTTCAAATCTGAAAAAAGAGTCAACAATTTCATCTTAGTAAGTTAGTACAGCGGACCACATGCAACAAAGTAACAATTAGAAGAGAGAGAAATTGTACACACAGTTCACCAGTGCTGTAAAATATATTTAAAAGAAAGTGAAAAGAGGAAAAAGTAGCTCTGTCCAAGAACTAAACTGTAAATTTAATATAAGAAGAAATGCATAAGAATTTAATACCACAAGGGAGACACAGCATTTGCTAGTATTGCAATGTATGCATACAAAAAAATGGAAAGCTAAGAAGGATTGACACTTCAAGGAAGCAGTTGTGTCCGTGTCGGACACGTGTCGCACTTCACTTCTCAAACACTCCTAGACATGTGTTTGATACATCTTAGAAATGTCCATAGTTTAAAAATAAATTCCTGATTCCAGACGCATGCTACATTTCTTGAATGACAAATCTTGAACATTTCATAAGACATCGTTAGTATAAAAATCATATCATAGATTTGTGTAAAATTCATTTAAAGTTTAACCGTCTCTGGAAAAACTAGAGGAGGAAAGTTTATATGAAGGAGTTGACAAGTTGCCATGAGATTAGGAGTACACACAAATAAACACATCTACATGAACAATCATATAATTTATAAATCACAAAATTGATATCACAGTAGTTAATTTTTATATAAAATATATATTTTATTGACATGTCATCGCAATGTCTGCACCCTATATTTGTTAAAGATGTCAATATATCCATGTCATGTCATATCCGTGCCTGCATCCACATTCATACATCTTAGTATTGAAGCAGAGAGGGATAAAACGGGTGTCCAAGGACTAACCAGTAAACTCAAAAAGGACAACGATGCAAATGATACTAGAGATAAATGTCTAAGCTAGTTTGAGATGCTACTAATTATTGACTAAAGAACATTTATGAAACTTATCTTCAAGATGTTTTATTTGACTTGGTAATTTGAATTATTAGAATCTATAGATTTTCTTATAGGGTATTTGGACTAAGAAAAAACTCGAACCAAAAATAAGTTCGAAAAAATTAAAGGAAACACTTCAAGACATGACAGTAGTCCAGCTGAAAGTTTGAAAGTGTTGGAACTATTTGACAACCATCTACTCTAAAAGCTTATGCTGTTAGAGAGGGTGTAATTTTAATATTTAAATCCTTCAACACGCCCCCTCACGTGTGGCCTTCTTTTTGGTCCAACAAGTGTTTTTCAATTTTTAGTTTGGGTGACGGTGAGGTTTGAACTCGAGACCTTTGGTTCTGATACCATGTTGACAACCATCTACTCTAAAAGCTTAAGCCGTTAGAGGGTGTGATTTTAATATTTAAATCCTTCAACAGAACTATAATAGATTGATTAACTAACTAAATCATAAGCGTTAGTTAGAACTGTACAAAAAATTATTACATCAGATTGATGAATTACCTTCTGGGGAGAAAAAAAAAACTAAGATATGAAGCAAAGCATCTAAGAATCACCAAGGCTTTTCACATAGATCAAAAGTGGAAGCTACTTCATAGCGGAAGGTTGAAAGACAAGGAAGACTTCCATCTAATATATATGAGACAAAAAATATTAAGATAGGTTCTGTTTTTTTTAAATAAATAGATAAATAAATAAAATACCAGCAAGTATACCTAGAATTATCAGCAAAAGTATGAAATCATTCTACGAAATAAATAACACGTTCAGCAGAGCAAAAACTATTATAAAAACTTGTACAATAATGACTAGCCGCTAGCATAAGCAATATCTCCTTCCACTCCACAAAACAAAGTTCCATGGTTCAAGTCTGCTTGGACGGGTTTTTTATTATTTTAGAAAAGAACCAACTGTTGATGAGAACAACAATAGCTACAATAATCTTACAATGAAATTCAAATTGAGCCCTTGATCACAAATCAGCAACGAAGCAGTAAACCAGGAAGAGAGCCCCTGGTGTGGTTTGGTAGTTACGACTTTCGAAAGCAATTTTTAGATAATGAGACTAGAATGAGATTTCTTAAAGGTAAGTACAACAAGAGATATTCAAGGATATAGAAGTTTTAGAGCAAAGAACTAAGGTATGAAACATAAGACTGTCAAACTGTGGGAAGGATTGAGTAGTGGAGAAGACCTAGTGATGGTGAGAGTGTCTGTTTCTTTTATTTTGGGTCATATTGCTCATGACATTAGTAGCATGAACTATGAAGATTTTGGACAAACGTTTCCAGAGCATTATGACATCACAAAAATAATTACAAACCTAGAGCAGAATCTTCTATGAGATACCTGTAATGATACCCCATACTTTATAGTGCTGAATGCTATGATCAAGAAACCTCATGTCCATATAAAGAATTCATCAACATGATGTCCTTAAGATGAATGTGACACGTGCCATGAAGGATTATAATAAGAATAAAAACTGTTTGCAAGAAGCTAGATGTGGCAGTCATTGAGCACAAAACCAAAGCAAATTTGGCTAAGGTGGTATCTCATTGAACAATGAAAACACATCAGTAACCACAGTTGCTATTTGTGATTAACTCCAACTAAAGGTGCCTCAACCAAGAACACAAGGGAGTCTATGAGATGAGGTAACATGGCATAAAACTTGAACAGTAAGACATGGCCAGATGAAATTTGGGTAGTGGACTGCAAACAGTTGAATACTTGAGTGGAGAAACATGGTCCAATCTCTGAGGAAACAAGATGGTCTATGACATGAACAAAAGACGTGGCCCTAGATAAAACCAGATATTGACAATAGATTTGCATGACCGAACCAAAACAGTCAAGGAAGTACTTTACTAAGATAGTTTAACTTGAGACTGAACTGATCAGGCACGGTTGAATTTTTTTTTTTTTTTTTTTTAGTATTATACCCTACTATTTTAATCATTTTGATATATATACCTAAAAAATTACAGTAATGCCCTCACCCCCCACGCCCGTCTCTCCCTCCTTCCTCACAATTTTCTGGGTCCGTCCCTGGAATAAATGATTATCTATTCATTAGCATAGCCAGCAGCACCATTTTTCCTAGCCGTAGAAGATGAAGAATGAAAACTTTGATTAAGTATAAAATTCAATGAATACACATGGTATAGTAATACACTAAAATAAGTAGATATCATAAAACTTGGTTGTGTATTTTTAATCAGCTTCTTTTTTTTCATAGTTTCATATTATATATCCGACTTGCATCGTTCTAAACTCTTTTTAAAGAAAACCATCAACACAAAAAAAATAAAAAAATAAAAAAATACTCATACGAAAAAAGGTAGAATCTCCAAGTAGGTTGGCATGTTAAAAACGTCCATCTTAAAGAAACAAGAAGTTTTCTACTTTGTTTCTATTATCAAACAATGTTTAAGATGCCTGCTATTGTAACGGTACCCTCCTAGCCTCCTAGGATGGAGTCAGTGATCAGTACCTAAAACAAGAGAGCAAAAAAGTGCAATTTTCTAAAGATGGAAGAGAGAGAATTACCCTTCTAGACCAGGATTTGTTGGGTAGTATACGTTTCTCAAGCCTAATCTTTTTGCAGCCAAAGCAGTTGTCTCACCGATGCATGCAACTGAATTGCCCCACTGTTCTGATTCTGATATAAGATTAACCCAGACACTGTTGCAGTAGAAATGTACGAATTCAGTGGATGGAACATGAATTCAGTGGATTTGAAACAGATTTTGGTGGGGTAAATTTATTTTTTTATTTTTTTATTTTTTTGGGGAAGAAACACATGAACTACCCCACCAGAAACTGTTTCAAATCCAGGAAGCCAAAGATGGGAAGAGAATAAGTGATATCATGGCTTTAATCTAACTGAAAGGAATCTACAGGACATGATAACAATGGTAACCAAGGCTAAATATATTCAGTCAAACACAAATATGAATAGTATGGTCAGCTTCTGTCCCGAAGCATTAAGTTCAAGTTAATTTTAAGGGACGTATAAAGAAGTTTCAATATTATCAATTAGAAAACAGTGTATCACAAACTCTAAACAGCTAGGGAAAAACTAATTAAAAGTAAGTTAACTAGTGCGACAGATAGTGTACCGAGCTGCAGAAGGTGACGCTACGGCAACAACAGGAGCAGAAAGTGCCTGCTTTAAAACTAGTTGGTCAACATCATGAACAGGCACCTGGAATAAAATCATAGGAATAAGTGGCTGCCAGGCATAACCATAACCCATTATCAACCACAGAATAACATTTAGACCTCATGTGGGCAGGAGATAAACAAATCAAACTTTAGCATACAAGCAGGCCTAAAATTTTGTAGACAATGGATTGAGACCTTCACGGAGTTCTGAGAATGGGAGAAGACTGAGCCTGTAAGGTCCTTCCATAGAAAGCTTTGCATAATACTAACAAGATATACATGCAGAAGATACAATAAACCTCTCACGTCATGCACCCCTCATGGTCCTCCCAATTTTATTTTATCAAATTTCCTTTTGCAAAATGGATAACTGGTCGTTTTAACAGGAAGTTAAGAAAATTACCAAGGCAAACTAAAACTGTCAATATCAAAGACTAACAAATGCAGACAGCCTACGAACTCTTAATTACCAAGGCAAACTAAAATTGTCAATATCAAAGACTACCAAATGCAGACAGCCTAAGAACTCTATTTTAAGAATAACCAGCAAATACGAAAAACCATCATAGGCATTAAGACCATATTTCAGAGTTAATAAATAAATATTAAATCTTGAAAATATGAGGTCTTCCATGATCAGCAGCAATAAGCGAAGAAAATGTGCATAATCAAATAAGCAGTGATCAACAAATTCATCAACAGAAACTAATAAACCAAATGAAAAACACTGAAGGTTCCTTTGTTTTATATACATCAAGGGGAACAAAGTATTATCAGTGTCATTATAATAGAAACAAAACCACAGACAATTGAAACTAAACTAAATTACCGTTGTGTATGTATTCAGTCGTGTGACCTGAAATCCGCGACTAGACAAACCTTCTTCTGAAATAAATGCACAATCATATCAGCTCAATTATTTTTTTTAATTTTTTTTTATTTTTTATTTTTATTTTTTTAGTTTTTGCTATCTCAGATATAATCATATAAGATCACAAACTGCAAGGATAATAACTTAAAAGGATGACATGAAAGCACACAAAACTTTCAAACCTGTGCCTGAGACATGTTCTTCCTTAACTTGAGATAGGACAGTAAGTTGCCAAATGAGAAGATTCAAAATTACTAATGCATAAAGTATCTTTATCAACTATATTAAATTAATTGCCAATGAAAAGTTGAGAACTAAAGCAAAAACGCTGGTTTACAATCGAGCTGGGCAGTCAAACCAAACAGCACCCCAAAAATATCATGGGATTGAGAAAGCTATGCAACCACAAGCCATATATCATAAATAAAAAGGGACCCTACTCTTTTCATGAAACTACACGTTTGATACTTATGCTTTAGTCAATTTCGATGTGAATCCCCCCATGGTTTTTGTCTTAGAGGCTTTGCAAAGTGCAACCAACAGTATCTTTGCTGATAACATATAGAAACCCTTTCTATCAATTTTTTTTCTTCTTCTTGGTAAGTCCTTTCTATAACTTTCTCTTATAAAAAATATAAATAAAAAAATAATAAATAAAAAGACATGCAGGTCCTACGTCTGCTTGTAAGGTGCTCAATTTGGTTTTTTCATCGTGTTGAAACTTGTCTGAGGCACTGTACAAGAACCCCCAACAACTCAACATTCTAAAAAGGGGAACATGTTCCTCAGATTTAATAGAAGTCAGAAGATACATAGCATGATTGATTTTTACATTCCTGATGCTATAGCCACCATTTTCTCGACTTTCTCAAATAATCAACTAAAGAATGATCAACAGCTATGAAGCTTACTAAGTAATACTCATTCCATCATATTCTTCTCCCACCAAAGTCATTGAAGATTATTATATAGATAATTTGGTAACTGTGTCACTTTCATCTTTACATGCAACTATGACATTCTGAATTATCCTCAGTAAAATGCATTACTCTGAAGTACACTCACTCTAGTGGATTGTCTTTCAACAAAACTCGTACACCTGTTACTTCTATTAGAATCTTCATGTCTTACTACATTCCTGTTTAACTTGAAATGCTCATTTTACTCATACTTGACCAATTGACCATATTCCTCGTCTTTACATGCTTATCTTAATTGTATTTGGGCAATTGACCTTGCTGATCCTGCTAATGAAGTCATTTTAAATGCCATCCAACAAGTACTAATGTTAGATCCTAGCAGATTAGTTTCATATTCTGAACTTTTAAGAGAAAATAAAGATTCAAGCAGCAGAAAATTATCAATAACAAAACAGAAATATTGCACGTACCAATCTCACTGCCAGCTTTTGCAGAAGCCGGATATAACACAGCACATTTCTTATTCCCAAGTTTTGGAAGCTCTGAAGCCAAAACCTTACCAGTAGCTGAAAAAACAAATCAATGAATTTAGATTTTGGTTTTACTCCCAATCATCTCAAAGATTGCAAAGTGATATTTGCTTTCTCGTCTTTCCAGCAACCAAAAGAGCATAAGAGATGAAAGCAAATTCACCAATCACATGCCTGGAATCACGAGTGTACACTACTTAACTTGATAGGGTAAAGCAAATGGGAGAAAATGCATACATACCTTTTGATGGTGTGAAGGCAACATGGAGAGATCGCTTTGATGACTGTGATGCTTCCTCGAATATACTCGCTGTACCAGCTCCCACCACGCCTACCTTAACATTTGGGGTTCCAGCAGCCCTAAGGACCATAATTTGGTACAAGTCCATCAACTGATGGATACCAAAATAATCATTAAAATGTAAAACGATAAAAAATAGTGATCTCTTTTAGCTACCTTATTCTTCCATTAAGTACTTGATTGCATACAGCATTTCATGGAATATATCCACACTACACTTATTTCACTCCAGCATTATCTTCAGTATCTTTATAGTGAAAACTACTTTTCTTTAACATATAATTCATAAAGTGATCAAAAAATGAATGGACAGAATTCAACAGCAAATATAAAATAATTATCTCTATTAGTAATTCCTTCTAACTGAATTTTAATTATACATGAGATGCCAGATCAAATCTGAAATGACAAAGGGAAAAAATAATCAAGCAATTGTATACTGTTCTAAAGTGATTCATTCTAGCTGAGTGTCAACAATATATAAGAAGCGAGATCAAACCTGAAATTGTAAAGGAAATTAGTAATCCAGCAATTGTGTGTTACTATAAAGATATATTTACAAAATTACATAGGAGGAAACATAGGATATAAAACCTAGCATGTTGATGTATGGCAAAAGAATTACAGGTTACATCTCCTTATCATATTACAGTTCAAATATTTTGTGCAAATTGTACTGGATTTTCATGAACATTGCAGAAGTTTAGGAATCTGAACAATTATTGGGCTAGCTCTGAGCTGTGGGCTAGTAAGACAGTAATATTTCATCGACACTATAATTATATAAGGTTCTCATGCTTAATGAAAGATAGATCAGAAGAATAAAAGCATGCAACCAATAATTTAGTCTCAAAACAAGGCACACCTTAGAGCTGTTGTAGTCCTCAAATAGAAAATATGAGCATCAAAAATGAAGTATACAGAATGAAAATGGATCAGACAATACATTAAAGACCATGCATATAGAAATCTATGGAAAAGATATTAATTCTGGTTGTCATTAACCAATACAGATGATGAAACAATGACCAGACAACACCAAGGCCACAACAGAAATCTTTCTGCCAAATGCAGGACCAATTCAGCATTAGAAAATAGGGAAATGCTTCATAAGCAAGTAATCCTTACTTCCAAGCATCGAGAAAAACTAAACCTGCTTCAGGAGAAGTTATGACGATCCAGTCAAAAGCTGTGTCTGCTGCCATGAGGCATAACAAGAAAGGCGTCAAATTCCATTTTGTGGAACAAATATCAGAAGATATTTATATGCTAGGCTTACTAATTGAACTCATTTCAGCGTGCATTTAAGTGAGTCAACAAAAAGAAAATCCCAATGTTAAAGTAAATCAACAAGTGAAGTCGCAAAAATACAATACAAAAATATAAGAACACAACAATCAACTAATACAAACATAATTACTAGCAGATGAGCACACAATAAGTGGTGCAGTGGTGCCTCTCACAAGTTGCATGTTAAAGCACCTCTCACATGTTGCAATAGAACATAATTGCAAGTGACTTAGGACCACAAATTGAACAAAGCTAGGGTAATGCCGAAATAGCCCAACTACTTTCAGCACAAATTTCGACATGAAATCAAGATTGACAATCTAATTCAGTGACGGAGCAAGAAAATTATTTGAGGGGTGCGGTCTTGGAAAAAATAAAATATTTTCAAACTACTATAAAAGATATCTACAATAATGACCTCAAAGAGCCCGAAATGTAAATCATACACGTTGACACAGAACTATAGAAATATTATGAATGTATCTTGTAGGCAAAAATCAGTTTCAACACGTCGTAACTAAAATCTTGAAACATCATATGCCACTATCAGCTAAAGAAAAAGAACTTTGGGAACTTACTGCTTAATACAGAAGAAAGCGTATGCAAATCAGGCAACTTCGTGTGCTGAATGAGGGGAAGCTCCAAACAGTCAATCCCTTGTTCAGCCTGTACTCAAACATCAAAAAATTCCATTTCAGACCCTTTTACTTAGAACTACCCACACAACAATACAATGGCAATGCTGAATGCTCAGATGTAGGCATGACAAACATGGGTTACTAGAACAGAACCCAACGTTTATTTAAATCTAAGTCACTCATCAGAAACCTTGAGTCATTGTTCTTGTCAATCAACTACAAAAATGTGATGCAGCATATTTATGGAGATAACATTGCAATTAAAATAAAGGATTTGCATGAAAAGTTAAAAACACTAAAATTAGCAGCAACTCCAACAAAACATGCTGCAACATATGGAATCTGCTTGCTCCTCAGATACAAGGCAAATTATCCAATATAAATACACACAAGTACAAAATAAAAAATCTTATCTGCCAATACAGAGATTAAGTATTCATACAAAACAGAAGACTTAATCCACCTCCTGCAATAAGAAATAGCAAAAATTAATCTGCCCAGAGACAAGTGCTAATCATGACTTATAACTATTTAAGACTCCATACATTTAGCTACATAAACATCACGTTTTTCCTAACTCGATCCGAAGATAAATTTCTTCTAACCCTCAACAAAATGATATAGCCTTGGAAAAATTTATAAATCATATATATATATATATATATATATATATATATATATATATATATTATAATTTATATAACTATCTTATCTCTAGGAGAGAGAGTTATGTGAAAAGAGCTACATGCCCCTTACAACCTACCATTATTAATTTTACTGCTGGTTTTTAATCACTCTCTTTTTCAAAAAATTAAATTGGAAGGAGAAAAAAAAAAAAAAAAAAGAGATGGTTATCATATCTTAGATATTACACATTACTATTACTGCCTAGTTCTGACATCCACAGAACAAATTACACATTATCTGCTAAAAAAGTGGTAGGAGTACCACTCAAGCTAACAAAGTGTGGGAGAGTTGTTTGCAGAATCCCAAGTATTCTTTTTCTTTTCATTCAACTTTTGGGTAATTAAACAAGTACATCCCTTTATTGTTAAACATCCTCAAGTATTGTATTCTCACCCCTTTGTGATAGGATCCCAAATGTGATGGCATTCCATTTCTTCAAGCAAAAAGGACACTACAAAACAATAAATTCTTTCTATATTTAGGAACCTCCAATCTCTAAATCTTGATTTCTTTCTTTCCCTTGTTGATAAATATCCCATGCACTTTGCTTCCAATTTTCTCAAAAACTTAAAGACTCTTTGTTTAGAGTGGACTCACTATCGCATTTAATCAAACACCTAGTGCGACAAGTCAATTCTCAATTCAACTTAAACTACCAAAAATAAGCATAAAGCATAAAAAACTCTAGAAGTGGAAAAAAAAAAAAAACAGGATGTGTTCCAATAGTCCGAATCCAATGCAAGTACAGCCAAAAACACAAAACAGCATACAACGCAGAAAATCAACAGATATAAACAATGTATCCATATTAAATACTGAAAAATTAAAAGAGAAAGAGAGAGAAAGTAGAGAGAGAGACCAGGGCATTGATGAGCTTGCCATTCTTGCCTCGTTCTCTGGTCACAACAACTTTAGGACTGAAATTCGAAGACGACGACGAAGCTTCGACTCTGAGAGAGCGAAAAAAGATTCGCCGGTGAAGCTGCGGAGAAGACGACGAAGACGACGGAGGTGGAAGAGGAGAGAGAGTAGAGAGAGAAAGCGGAGACATTTTCCGTGGTAACGTGTTGCGTGTAGAATTGTCGAAGAAGGCCAGCTGTTAGTAACTCAACCACACCTTTTTTTTCTCTACTACAGTTCCACCAAATTAAAAATTATGAAAAGACGTTTTAGGACAATAAAATTACCGAAAAGACTTTTTAGGACATTAGAAAATTGTTACGTGACCGACCACTTCGAACAATCATGTGGTTTTGCTTTAAAGTTCCAACTCAGTGGTTCGCTGAACCACGTACTCCTTCTATCTCAACCGTCCAAAAAGGTCTATGACAGTTTGTATGTTCATCTTGGGTGTGGAGAAAGAGATAGTTTACACCTTGGGTGTAGGTTTGAGATTCTCCTAGTGTTCTGGTGCATTCCAACACCCTAACGTAACGGGTGACGTGCGCCCCATGTTGCAACACAACTCCCATTCGAATTAAAAAAGAGAATGGAAATGTGTTACAGTGTCTCTCACGAGTCTATCATACTCTATGAACACTTTGATCCTACTCTTGATCAGGTGACAATTTAATGGCTAGTATCTCATCTCAACTTGATCGGGAGTTCAATTCCCCGCGTTACGTGCGCCCCATGTTGCAACACAACTCCCATTCGAATTAAAAAAGAGAATGGAAATGTGTTACAGTGTGTCTCACGAGTCTATCATACTCTATGAACACTGTGATCCTACTCTTGATCAGGTGACAATTTAATGGCTAGTATCTCATCTCAACTTGATCGGGAGTTCAATTCCCTTTGCAAGAAAGATGTTGCCAGTATCACTTCTCTTATATTGCGCCAAAAAAAAAAAATAATAATAATAATAATAAGAAGAAGAAGAAGAAGAAGAAGAAGAAGGAGGTTGAATTTTAGATCGTGCAAAATTTTGTATCAATAATTGGAGCCATCTATGGGCAAGGACGGAGGCATTCACAAGTAAATATACCTTATCAATTTATAGAAAAAAATAAATAAATAAAAATAAAATAAAAATATAACTCTTCAACTATCAAAAATTAAGGTCATGCTTGGAATGGATTTATGATCTCAAGAACAATTTTTCGAGAACAGTTTTTTGTTTTTTCAAATTTTAAGCCTATTTGGTTAAGAGAATTTACAAAACAGTTTCCAGAAAACAAAAACTCATAAAACTACTTGGTTGTATGAGTTTTTGAAAATAGTTTTCTGAACTAAGAAAATAAATAAAAATATTATTGTACATCACTCTTTTATTTCTTTAATTTATGATATTAACTATATATATATATATATATATATATATATATATATATATATATATATTAAATAAGTGTTGAAGGTGAATTCATTTTAGCAAGTATATTTGATAAAAGTTGCACAAATACAAAATATCAAATTTAATTAAAATTTGATTAAATTTAAATACAATAAAAGAGTTACATTAATTACTTCAAGTGTCATATGCACTTTTAATTGTACAAACATTAATTTTAGTCATACATAACCAAAACAAAATATTAGAGAATTACACAAATAGGTAATAAAAGCAAAACATTAGAGAATTATAAAAATAACTTTATCTAGCATTGCCTCTGAATAATGCCCACATTTGATTTATCGGATGAGTTCTAAGGGCTCCCATTTGTGCTGCACCATCATCAGATAAATTAAGTGCATTCAGTACACCAGCATTACTACTGTTACCATTCCCCCCATCCGTGACATTAACATCTTCTTCCCCATACTCCATAAAAAAACGATCATCTAATATATTTTGACGAATGAAATTGTGAATCGTGCAACAAGCAGTTATTATGACTCGTTTTTTAACCAACTTATAGCAAGGCATAAGCTTTAAAATGGGAAAACGAGCCTTTAGTACTCCAAAACAACGTTCAATAACATTACGAAGTGATGAATGTGGGTAGTTAAACAATTCCTTTGCACCACGTGGTTGCCGATTGTTACCCCTATAATCTTATAAATGATATCTTTAATCACGATACGGAGGCAGAAATCCTTTTGTGCATGGGTAACCAAAATCAACTACATAGTATTTCCCTGCAAAAAATTATTTAAATTTTATTAGGGTTAGTAGCATGTTATTATTAATATTAAAAAGACAAAAGTAATAGTAATACCATCAGCTGCTATCGGGAATTGTGCAACAGCTCTAGTAATTGCATCAATAAAAACTCTCGAGTCATTTGCCTTTCCCTCCCAACCCACGTAAACGAAAGTAAATAGCATATCAAATGAGCAAGCACACATAACATCTTGTATTACTATAGACTTTCTTCCTCTATAAGGAGTTTGTTTGCTGGCAGGTACAAAAGCACTTATATGTGTTCCACCAATTGCTCCAATGCAATTCTTAAACCAAGGAAAGTATTTAGGATTATGAAGTATATGAGAAGGCACATCATTGCTTTGTGGTGGACGTATGAGGGATTTCCCAAGGCGACATATTGCTCTCAATACCTGATTAAAATGTCTAGAAACTGTTTCTCCAGAATGTTGAAATCGTTCAGCTACCACTGCATGACGAATATTATGTCCTATAATGAACAGAAACATTGCCACTGACTCCTCGATTGAAATTGTATGTGTGTCTTCCAACAATTTATTTTCTCTCAATATTCGACATAATTTCATAAAGACTTCTCTATCCATTTGTAATAAATCAAAACATCGACCGACATGGTCATTCAACAATTCCTGAACATACTCATGACCTGTTAACCCTGAAGTTCTTTTTGGTACCTTGGATTTAAAGGAATCTTCATTCTCCTGCATCAAATTCAAATACATGCAATCCACAAGGTCATCAAAATCTTCATCTGAATCACTAGACGATGAAGATGATGTGTCACTCCAATCTATGTCCATCTTGATTTTCTAAGAACCTAGACAAACAGATATATTGAAAATTGCATAACAGTATTTAAGGTAATGAAGAGTTGAATTAGCAGCTTCAATAAAAGTTACTTTCAAGCACCTTTTTGGATTTTATATTATAGATGTTAATTGAAACAATGAAATCCATGGAGAGACTCTTGACAAGAACTCTGAGCTTGACTATGAATTAAATTTATAACAACCAATTTCAAACAGAAGTTGGTCATGAAACTAGTACTACTGTAATTGAATTTTATGTTTGCAGTCATTTCAAGTTCTCAGTTGCAATTTTCCTCTATAAAGCATAACGGAGACAGGCACATCAGGATATTCCTAACAAGGTTCTATAAACAAAAATGAAGAGTTGACTACTAGTTCATGTCTGATAACTAGTAAATAGTGATATCAACTTAGAGAAATAAATAGATCAGGTTAAGCTAATTCAAATTGAAGCACAATCTACTTTCTACTTTACATATATGATCACAACAACATCATATAAATTATAAACAAATTTAATCCATTGATCACAAATAGAGAATTAAATAACACTAAACCAAACAAATAAATTCCTTCAGATACCTTTTGATCACTTTATGATAAACAAATTAAGACGATTATCAACGGATATTCACATGAAATTACACCAAACTGTAGTATAGAATCATCCCCAAGGCCCAAAGATCTTGATCACGACATAGCAGAATTATACACATGTTACATCATGCTAAACAATATAGGAAATAGAAGACAAAAATAAATAAATAAATAAATAAGAAGAAGAAAATATTAAAATGGATGTCCTCATTTAATAGACTTGAAGAAAACCACATAAACCCCCCCTTATGACGAACCCAAGTTCATCATTCTTAAGCTCTCTCAAGCTCATGACCTCCAAAAAAAAGAAACTGTTCACTTGTGTTGAAACATTCTAGCCACACTACATCTTACACATAATTCACAAGAAAAGAAAGAATTATTTTCACACCCTACCATCTGAGAGACCAGAACACAAAATAAGAATGAATATTTATTTAAATGGGAGTTTGTATTTCATCCAAAAATAGACAAAAATAGAGACATATATATATATATATATATATATATATATATATATATATATATATATATATAGTTCAATTTTAAAAAGAAAGAAAGAAAGAAAGAGGAGTCTATGGTTCTCAATCAATTGTACTAATAGGTCTACTAGTTTGCGGCTTCTAAAGTAGTCTCAAGTCTTAACCGTCATACAATTCCAACTTTAGTTGGTCTCTAAACAAAAATCTTCTAAGCAGCAATATATCAGTTTTGTATCTTAGAATGGAAAAGCCCCTTGAGCCAGTATTCAATTGTTGATGCATCTTCTCAATGACTGCCAAAGAACTTGGGTGTGATTGTGTAACCTTCTCTGTTTTTTTAATCTTTTCTTTTCTTCCTTCTATAACCTTCAAATTTCAATCCTTCACATCTTTTAAGATTTTCATTCTTTTGGTGCTGAAAGTAAAGACACTATGTAAGTTTATATAGAACCCCTCATTGTTTTTCTTTCTTTCTTTCTTCTTCTTTCTTTTTTTTTTCCTATTTTTTCCCTCTGTTTTATCTTTCACCATCTATTTCTTTGCTTTCTTTTCCTCTTACTTTATTAAACTCTTTTTAATCAAACAACCCCTAAATAGGTTTGAAGAATAGAATATACTACATATCGATCGAAGCAATAGTCCATTGAGAGTAGTCAGAAAAAATTGCACTGAAAAATAGTGGACATCAATCAAAGTGTCGATCTAAGCTTTTTTCCATATATTCATTTCTTGGTGGCCCAGCATTTTTGTTCTACATAGCTTAGGTAGCTGCATTTATATGGCCAATTATCTTCACATTTCCTATAATGTGATAAGAGAAATTAATTAGTCCTCGTTTATACTTTATCCACCCATCTATGATTCTTTATTCAAATTCACCTCAATCTCCATCTCCCAAATTCGACAACAGTAACCAGAAGGGGAGTGAATTCAAAATGCCAGTTCTCATATTTGTCCTAAGAGAACAATAAAACCTATGGATGAAAGACGTACCTAGAGGAAGGATACATATATAGATGGGTAACTAAGCCTCAACTATTAACCAATGAAATAAAAAGCCAGAATCACCTAATCTATGATTTTATCCTAAGTTTGTGTTTACTAA